CTTGGTCAGCCATTGGTCAATGTTTGGTCAGCCATTGGTCAGCCATTGGTCAGCTGTTGGTCACTCCTTCGTCACTCCTTGGTCAATCTTTGGCCAATCCTTGGTCACTCCTTGGTCAGCCATTGTCCAACCAGGACCCCGCTGTCCCTGCTGGCCTTTCAGGCACACTTCTGGCTCACGGTCCATCCTCGGTCGACATCTGCTCCATGTTGGCTGCCGTCAGCACAGAGCCGGGCCCAGGCTCCGCACCGCAGTGAGCAGCGGCCCAGCAGCCTGCAGGACGGCGCACGGGGGGCCCTGGGGTCCCAGTTGCCCAACTGCCCTCCATCATAGGGGAAAAGTTGCCTCTGTCAGGCCGGGTTTCCGGCTGGTGACTGGAAAAGGGAAACCCTGCTCTGTTCTTAAGAAGGGGAGAAGAGAAGAGCTGGGAAGCACTGGGGCTGCGGTGCAGGAGGGCATCGAGGACGGGTTGATCCCAGTGCCAGGCGTTGTGGAGGATGGGGGCAGCCTGAGCCGTGCAACGTCGGCAGCAGGAGGGGATTTTCTTGAAGTCGGGGCTGCGGAGCTCCGGTGCTTCGGCCTTCGTGGGTCAGACTGCAGGCGCTGGACGCACGGAGCCTTTTGGTGTTTGGATTTTTTTACCTTTTAAGCGACTGCCAGCTGTGAATCTGATCTTCATTTCAGGAGCACCGATTGAAGGCCGTGATGTTTTTTGGAACTTATTTTCCTACGACGTCCAACACTGACAGCACCAAAGCCTGGGTGCCAGGGGGCGGCACAGGAGGGACGGCTGCAGCACCGCAGGGTCCCCTTTAACAAGGAGGGTTTAATAAGGAGTTGTTTAATGAGATGCGATGTTTAATGAGGCGCCTGTGCGCACATTCAAGCTCACGGCACGCAATAGAAGCTTCTGTTCTAACAGCTGAGTCCAATTGCAGCAGGTAAACCTTGATCCTATTTGCCTTCCTCAACCTGTATGAGGACCTGTGGACTCCAGCAGGGCACGGAGGGCTCTGAGCAGCCTTCCGTCGGGTCGGCAGCACCGCCTCGTATCCTCGGAAAGCCCGGAGCTCCATCTCAGCCCGTTGTTCCCGGGGCTCAGGATCCAGCAGCGATTTCATAACCCAAATATTTCACCCTGCTGGGCTCCCTGTGATCAAACTGGCAGCCGTTAAACCCAACGAGGTTTAGTAGCTGATCGCCCCCCGTGCAAACCTGCTGCGCTTCGGCAGCTTCCTTTCCCAGCGCCTCCCCCACTGCAACTCGGGAGCCTGAAGGGGATCCTCCCGCCCAAAGGCAAAGCTGAGCTGATGCTCCGGACTCAGCAGGCAAAAGGCGGCGACTTTTAGGTGCAGAGGGCAGCCCTGCCGATTCCCCTGGCCGCCGAGCAGCAGCGCCTGCAGGTTGGCCGCCGGCGGTACGAAGCCTCCGCTGCTCCACTGCCAGCCCTTCAGCCTTGCGCCACCCCGCAGCTCCTCCTTTATCGGGATGGGCGCGCTGTGCTCTGCTCCGCTCCACCACCACCCCCAGCGTCTGAAAACGGTCGATTATGGGCCGGATTCCTTTCCTACCTTCAAATTTGAGCGGGTGATGATTGCTGAGATCCGGCTGAGCTCCGCGCTTCATTCCGCCTGCTATCGGCGCTGCGTTCTCAGCCCTTCCTTGGGTTTCTCCTACCCTCACTCCAGGCTGAACTCCGTCGCTCTGCCTGGGATCCCGGCCCCCTCGTCTGCCTTAAGCATCCAGCAAGCTCTGAGCAACGCTGCCCCTTCTTGAACAACTTGAAAGCAATGCGTTCTGCATCAACTACATCGCATTCACAACCAGAACCACAACCAGAACCCCAAGAAGAACCCGAACCAGAACCCCAACCGGAACCCCAACCCCAAGTGGACGCACGGCACGTCGCTCAGCCCGCACGCATTGCGGCGCACAGATGAGCGCTCGCTCAAACTCCGCTCAGAGGGGCGGAGGGAGGCAAGGGGGGGGGGGGTGGGGGTTGGGGTGGTGCTCACGGGTGGCTGCGGGGCGGAGCGGGGCGGTGGGCTCCGACCTCAAAGGAGCCCCGACGGCGCGCACCGCCCCCCCTTTCCCCCCCTCTTGATGCGGGGCGGCGTTCGGGACAGCGCCCCCTACCGGCGGGGAGGCCAGCGCTTGCCGACCCTTGCATCACCCTCCAGTTCGCCCCGCCCCTCCTCTCTCATTGGCTCACTGCTCCGTGACGTCATTACATGACGGGACGCTGATTGGCCGAAGCTGACGTAGCGTCTTTTCGCGCGAAGGTTATAAAAGGGGAGCGCTGCGGAGGGGCGG